TGGCTGTTTTTTTGTTTTAACGCCAAAGCTATGAAAAGTTTAAATTATCTAGCTTCATTTTGGCAACTTTTTTATAACATCATTTTGGAAAATGAAAGGTAGTGAATGTTACAAATGTCTATCTTTACTCACAAATCCACAATGTCATGTTACAAAAGGCTGTATTTTACCCACAAGTCATGAAAACATCTTCTCCTCATAGCATCAATCCTAGAACTATTCTTTGCACAAGTGGGCTACATTGACTGATCATCGAGGGTCATATGACCAGCCAAGCACTATGCATATTAATTAGGAAGAAAAAGCAAAGTTAACCTGACATAAATTATTGATAAAAACTCCTAAGACTTGTAACATGTCAATTTTATCTCAATAATCTTAGTGTTATGAGTAAGAAGAAAAATTGTTGAAAATTGTAGAAATTTGTTGAATTGAAATTAACCAAGTTGTGCCCTCACAACTAGCACGAAAATTTTAGTCATTAAACTGCCAGAGCAGACAATAGTTTTGATCTGAACTGTTAATTCTGGAATATCATGCAGATGTACTTATTTTACAGTAATCTCACAAATCCACAATGTATTTATAATGAAAACCTGCATTATTTAATCATTTTACATTTTAAGTGTAAAATCAAAATAAAATGAAGTTATATTGCTTTGCTTGTGTGAAGAAATTAAAGCAGTCTATGAATGAATGTCTTGTGTGACTTCATTTTGACTGTGGATGGCATCTGAGTACAAGTTTGCTAAAATTATAATTCATTCACTTTATCAGCATCGCTTTGAACTTAAAACATTAAATTTGGAAGCCATATTTTTAAGATGCTTAAATCTTTAATCTGTTCTGTTTTTAGTAAAAACCAAAAGACATTAAGTAGGATTCACATATTAAATTCAAAGAAAATTAATTAATCTAATAATTAAATGAATATTATGAAAGAATTAATATGCTAAAGTTGTGTGGAGACACCCATATAACAGGTCTGAGTCAAAACGTTCATCAACAAACATTTGAAGTGGCAAACAGTACAAAACTCTTTTCTATGGTCAGATTAAAACATGACAAATTATCAGTGACTGGCAACAGTATAAATTTTTCTTTAATTTAAGGAAAAGTATTAATAATAAATAATTTAAAGAGTAAATATCTGATTGATTTGTTACAGTTGTTTGTTGATTGATTTTTTTGAAAATTAATTATGTTGGTATTTTTTCTTAAACTTTAGATGCCAAAATGTTTTAAGCTTTCAACATGTGTCAACATGATACCAAATATTTTTAAAAAATTAATAATTTTTCTTTATCTAGTTAATAAGTAATAATAATATTCCAGATCAGATAACTAATGTTGTGTCATGGTCACCAATATAAGGGGAGAGCTTGGAAAAAAGATTTATTCTCCCATTTTTATTTCCCCCATTATGGGCATCATTATATCCATCATATAATAACACTGTACTTCATGGACAGAACAGAAAGAAAAAAAGAAATGACAAATATGCTTGGTTCTCAGAGAGACTTTTATACTACTAAGACATACACAAAACTGTGTGTGTGTGTGTGTGTGTGTGTGTGTGTGTGTGTGTGTGTGTGTGTGTGTGTGTGTGTGTGTGTGTGTGTGTGCATCTCATGCAGAGAAGAATATAACATATATCTATACAGTCAAGCAGATTGAAAGGAGAATGAAAAGATAGAGTCTCCGATATAACATGGAGATTATTCTGTGCTTCTGGAGAAGCCAGGTTTAGGATTCTAGTTTCAATGGGTAGGATTCATCTATTATATGCCAAGTGAGTATATATTCTGTGAAATGGAAACACAGAGTCTTAGGTTTTCCCAAATTGAGGACTGCTACCCAGAGATTTCTATATCTAGGAAAGACATATTTCCAAAGGGAAATGATGCTATGTGCTTATAAGCTGTTGGGGGAGGCAGATTTAGTCTCAGCTCAGGCCTCTCCATGATAATTCATGTAGAAAAAACTCACCAGTATATTTGCATTTCTACAGGATGATTTTGATTTTAGAAAAAGATCTCCAAAAAGAAATTTTTATAAAAATCTTGGCAAATGTCTTTTGTCTTTTCTTGAAGAAGCAAATATTCTTTGGTGCCTTTTTGCCTATGGGCAATACAATCTTCCAAATTTTTTATTGATAACTAAATTTTCTAAGAAACATTTTCTTTGGTTATTTCTTCAGTTAGCATCAAATAATTGTCATTTTCAGATTTCCACAACATTGCAATTTCAAAAGCTGCCATAAATCCTTTATCTATCTTTATGATAGATGTTTCGTACGATAGAAAAATAAAATTTCTCAATCATGATACAAGGGCCACAAAGAGGGTAGGGAAATTCAGACAGAAAAAGTAGCTAATCTGGCCATAATTTTCATAAAACTGAAAGTTGAATCTAGGAATTCCCTTGCCAGCTTGCCTCAGTCTACTTAACTTACCTACCAAACCAAAGCTACAGTAGGCTCCCTGATTTCACACCAGTAAATTTTATTTATTTATATATTTTTTTAATCAGTATCAAACCATACAAGGCAGTAAAGCAACTAAGACATAAGGGGTTACAGAGCAAGTAAGAATTAGGAACAGAAATATTAATAATAAGCAAGAAGAGAAAAGAGTAATCAGGGAGACAGTAGATAGTGATTGACATTGCATTTAAATTTTTGCAGATTAAAGTTGGCTGGAAAACATGAAGCCAGAAGTAAGTTCTCCAAGTTAGAAGTGTGAGAAAAGAAAGTGTTAACATAGAATTTATAGCTACATCTAACCAGATCAACTGTAAATTGATATGATCTCAACACCAGTCTAGTACTGCACTTAAATTCAAAATTCACAATGAAAGTATTTATAGAAAAGACACAGAGAGGCAACCTTACAGAGGTGGAAAAGTGGTTGAAGCTGTGCTGCCAGATCAGGACCAATAATATTGCTGATTCTTCTTTGGATTTCATCAAGAAGCTCAAAGGGCACTGGACCATATATGGCAGCAATATTCTAAACATGGACAAAATTTTATTGTTTAAATCATTTCTTTATTTTTCTACATTTGCAACAGGGAAGTCCCACTGTCTCAGATACATAACAGTACCTTCCTAGGTACTTGGCACTCTGGGCTTCTGGCTCTGCTGTACCAGGATTAAAAGTTACAGTTTCTCTTGCCTCCTAGTTGTTACACCACTGATTAACTCAAGTGTAGTTCTTATTAGACAAAAACTAAAGAAAGGTATCTGATTATATGCAACTGTTTTGTTTTTGTTTTTGTTGTTGTTTTTACATTTTTTTGATTATTTTTTTCAAATTTTTTTCTACATATACAAAAATAATATGGATCCATATCTATTTGTCTATTTATATATATTTTTGAGGAACACTTTTCACAAAGCACACAGTTCCAACATTCCAATCTTAACCAGAGAACACTTTTACTACACTCAGATCCCAAACAGGTCAGGGAGTAATACTTTGATCTTAGGCAGATTATACAAAAATCTTACTACTGTTGTGATATGTAAATTAGGTTCAGTATAAAAGGCAGTATCACTATATGTACGGGGTGGTGGGTATCTTCTTTTGACAAGACTACATCTGTCAGAGAGAATACCTAACATAATAATATGGCATCACCAATCAGTTACTTAACTACAATGGAGGATCCTGAGTATATAGAAACATGGCTTAGGTGTTTCATAGCATCGATGAGAGTAAAGAAGTTAAAGGACACCAAAGCTAGAGGAGGAGAAAATGAAGTTATGGATTTGTTTTGGGTCTCAGCCAGGTGTGAGGTCATAAAAAAATCTCCGTGATGGTCTATCCCAAAGTGTTGAAAGGTTTAGTGTATGAAGAAATTGCAGCCATCATAAAAGCAGATGTATAACAAAAAAAAGATTGGCCATAGCAGAAAGAACTAAATTTCTCAAAAGTAGATAGAAACTGGACAAAACCATTATGCAATATGTACAGCGACTGAAAGAAGCGTTGAGATATTGTGAGTTTGAAAGAATGCGTTCGGAACAAATGTCTATCAAAGACAAGCTAATGTGTTAAGACTGAATGTTTGACATCTCGTACAAGTGTAAAATTCTAGAGCAGCTTCAAGCTCATAATACGAATCTGGAAGCATGTGTGAAGTTCTTACAATTGGAATTGATTCAAAAGTTTAATACCTCTGAAGGCAGCATGGAGATTTACAATGCTACTAAAAGCTTAATTGTATACAGATATTGCAATATGGAACATGAAAAGAGGAAAAATAAATGTCAAACCTCTGGGAAATGATGCTTTAAGTGTAAAAAGAGGAACAATTTCCAGACAGTGCACATATGAAAAGCAAGTGAAAAAGTGGAAAATATAGACACTCCGATTGAAGTATTTGATATAAAAGCACAGGATAAAAGTAGGGAAATGGTGAAGTTGAACAGAGCAACGTTACTCATGCAGGTGGATACTGGAAGTGATGTTACGTTGATATTGAGGAATTTTGGGGAAAGAATTTTTGGGTAGACCAAATTTAAAGAAAAGTAATCTCCAGTTGAAACAGTTTGATGGTTCAGTGATCAAAATTTTAGGATGCTTTGAAGGCATGTTTGAGACAAAAAATAGATTTTAAATAATACCCATCATATTAGTGGAAAACATCAAAAATGACAGTCTTTTAGAAATTGATGTGTTAAGGATGGATACATTAAAACTGGTAAATTCTATGCAGTCTGTAGAACTGGATATTGGATTATTAAGAGGATACAAGGTGAGTATTCAGCTTAAAGAAAGCAGTCAACCCATGTATTTTCAAGCCTGAAAAGTTCCTGTTCACATACTACCCTTGATGGCTGCTAAGCTGAACAAAATGGTGAAACAAGGAATATTAGAAAAAGTCAGCCAGGGTGGTAGCAAATGGGCTTCACCCATTGTGGTGGGGTAATGTTTTGGACATGTGTTGCAGGTTATAAATGATAATACAAGCCCAGAGATTTAAGAATTTGTGTGTCAGGTAGCAGTGTCTTTATTATAACAGAAGCAAACTGTTTGAAAAGAGATAGATAGATAGATAGATAGATAGATAGATAGATAGATAGATAGATAGATAGATAGATAGATAGATAAACAGACTGAGATAGATATATAGATACATATGAACAGACTGAGATAGATAGATAGATAGATAGATAGATAGATAGATAGATAGATAGATAGATAGATAGATAGATAGATATACATACACCCTGTAAGTTCAACTTTTTCTTCATTATTTACAGAGACTTTTAAGATTCATTGAAATTTTCTCTACATGAAAGATGTTCTTTTGTGTGCCAGGTAGCAGTGTCTTTATTATAACAAAAGCAAACTAAAAAGAGATAGATAGATAGATAGATAGATAGATAGATAGATATTTCCAGCATGATGAACAATGATTATGTTTGTAGTAGATGTTAAACTCTTTTGCCAGACATATATGTGTGGAAAACCCTATCAGTGGAAATAACCCCTTTTCAGCTTTTAAGTATGTGTAAAAAGAAAAAAAAAAACTTGTAGCATGCATGCTTTAGATCAGAAGAGGCTAGCTATCTTTCATCCTGGGATAAAGTTGTGTCAGGATGCTAAAGTTAGCATTCTCTGCAATAGATGCACATGGCATAGAGAGTACACCTCATCCACTATTTACTTCACATGCAGAGTAAGTTCAACTTTTCGCTCATTATTTACAGAAACTCTTAAGAACATTCATTGAAATTTTCTCGACATGAAAGATGTTTTTCATAGGGTAAATATTTCTATCTTGTTTTGTTTCACTCTTTTGTGTCTATTTTCTTCACACTTTTAGTTTAGTTTTTGTTCAACACACACAACCCCTGACCTAGTAAAGACAGTTTGATAACCACAAGGTCAGTTGTATTAATTTTCTAAGCATAGCTTAGATGTGACACAAGGCCGAAAGTATGGGGCACCCAGTGAGGATCGAACTCACTACTCAGTTGTAATTGTTCTAGCAAGACAAGCTTGCTAACCATTACTCCGCCTCGAGGTGCCCCACAAGGTCAGCTGTAGGTTCCTTTACTTTGTGCTAACTTCACAAGTTGTATAATAAAATCCTGCACCACCAAATAATTCATAGTAAATATTTCTAATAAAAACAGATGAGATGAGATTCACATGGTATTTATATATATATATATATATATATATATATATATTCTCATTTTTGTTCATTTCTTTTCATTCAGTCCATGCATGGAATATTGCAGTCACATCTGGCCTGGTGGTTCTGCTCTATATTTAGAGATTCTTTATAAAATATAGAGAAGAATCTGCAATAATATTGTTCCTGACCTGGTATCTTGGCTTCAATCACTTTCCTATGACCTTAACATAGCTTCTCTGCCTTTTCTACTAATATTTTCAGAGCAATTGTTCTGATGAGCTTTCCTGTTTGGTACCTCGACCTTATGAATTCAAGCCAGGTACAAGACTGGCGGCAAGTTCACGTCATTTTACAAATGAAATGGTCAGATGAAACCGTAAGTTATATGTTAACAGTTTCTTCTCTTGCACTTTTCACTCGTGGAACTCTCTTCTGGCTTTTGGTTTGCCAGTCAACTTTGATCTTCAAAAATTTAAATGTCATCTTCTGTTTTCTTAATTCCTCTTCTTTTATTGTTCTCTCTCCTTAATAATGTTTTCATTTCTCATATTCTCTCATACTCAGTAATCCCTTGCTTGGGGTATACATATTGTTAACTATGCTGACTTGTGGTCCTACCTAGGATTGAACTCATCATCTTTGGCTAACAAATTTCTGAAGATATTAGACTCCTGCTCCTCAGCTTAATGGATGTGTTCTATGCAGTGACAGTAGCAGGCTTGTCTCCTTTCATGCCAAAATGGATTTACCGTTTAGGCATTATTTAAGTTTTGAAATTTCTCCTCAGGTAGAAATTTTCTGTTGTTTGGTGAAGTGCTAATACTCGGTTTATTGATCAATATCTTGATCATTAAATAGATATCTACTGAAAATAATACTGTTAGTTGGTTAATACCAATTGTGAAGACATTGACTCACATAATAAAATCAGACATAGTGTACAGCACTAAAAGGAAAAAGAAGAAGCATGTAAGCAAAGAAGAAGAAAAAAGAATATTAGTATTGCTTATTGACTATCTTGTGTTAGGAATAATAACGTGTATTAACCTTCCAGTAGCACACCGATACTAATATTAGCATTAGCGTAGCCATTGATACACTAACACTGAATGCGAATATAGAAAGATGAAATACGTGACCATAACAAACAAAACATTTAATAAGGCAAACAACTTATATACATATATTAAAATGTCCCAAAACAAATGATTGTTCATATTGTCCAAAGGAATGAGGAGGTTTACAGAACAAGAACAAAAAATAACATATCAGCTATACGGCCTTTGATTGTTCACAGATGAGTGAATAGAAATTACTTTTTTCTTTCGCTAGGCCGTACACATGTTGACCAGTTTCCACGTGTGTGGATGCCTAGGTGGCCAGGAAGGTAAAGAGGCCGTTCCTTAAAAAACGGAAGCAAGAACTAAAAGGGACAGCAGAGTTCTCCTCTCTAAAGGGGCCAAACTCCCATGAACTCAACCCAAGGGAAAACAACTGTAGTCTCCCTACAAGTACCCCCTACCTAGACAGGTTCATTAACCTGCACCAGAGGTACTACTAAAATGTAACAAAAACAAAACTTCACAACATGTATTACAAATTTAAAGAAAAATGGTTTCATAATCGAATGAAAAAGGAAGAGTTCAATGTGGAATGAGAAATATCCTCCAGTTATGGTTCTACTGAACCCAAAACCTGAAAATGAATTATGTCAATAAATGTTTGGGCCATCTAACACGATGGCCAGATCTGGTCACAGTCTCTTTTACTACCTCCAGTGCTACTGGTGATGGAGGAGTCACTGAAGTGTCCATGCTGAGCCAGATAGTGTTCAAAAAGGCAGGCTTTAATCTGTCCATAGTAATGTTTTGTGTTGCATTGTTAACGCTGACCATAAAATATTTTGAATGTCTCTCAAGGACTTTGAAATGTCCTCTGTAGGATGGCTGCAATGTGTGGGACCTAGCCAATTCCCGCACAAAAACATGTGTGAATGTCTGCAGTAGTTTAGGCACATATATCTGCCTTCAAACCGGTGCAGAAGACTTATATGCTAAGTTCACCATTCTCATGGTAAGCTGATCAACAAACGAGGTCAAGTTCAAAATTTTTTGAGAAGGTTGCAGGAAAAACTGTTCTGGAAGTCTGAGTGTGATGCCATAAACTATCTCAGCAGATGAACATTTAAGATCATCTTTAACTGCATTGTGGAATCCCAGAAGAACCAACAGTAGGTGCTCCAGCCAATTTGCCTGATCCGTCACGGCCCTTAAAGCTGATTTAAGTGTACGATGAAATCATTCCACTAAGCCATTAGCCTCAAGATGATAAGTGGTGGTTTTGATTCTTTTACTCCCCAAGATCCTCATCAGCTGGTTGAACAGGTCTGACTCGAATTGCCACCCTATGTCTGTAGTAATTACATTAGGGACCCCGAAACAGGAAACCCACCCTAAAACAAAAGTCTTTGCTGTGGTATGTGCAGTAATGTCCAACAGGGGAAGAGCCTTACACCAACAGGAGAAAAGATCAACACATATCAATAGATATGTCTGTCCCTCACATGAGGGGAGTGGTCCTGTGATGTCCACATACACATGTGCCAACTACTTGTCGGGTGATGGAAAGGATCCAGGAGGTGAACGGGTATGTCTCCCCACTTTGGCCCTCTGACACGCCACACAAGTCTTTGACCACTGCCGAATGTCAGTTTTCATGTGTGGCCAAACAAATCTGTCTGTAATTAGCCGTATTGAGGCATTAGCCCCTGGGTGGGACAAATTGTGCATGGAGGAGAATAACGTCTTCTGCATTGACTTAGGCATGAAGGGGTGTAATCGTCCAGTGCGGGTGTCACATACAATTTTCAATTCTGTGTTTGGAACATGTATTCTCAACTATGTCAAGGATTGTGTGGTTCTCTTGTAGAAGATGCTGTAGTTGCTGATTCTTTTCCTGTGCTTCCACAAATGATTGATGTTCCAAGCACAGGTCCTGCACAAAAGCATTGATGCCACGAGACATAGTGTCTGCAGGTATGTTGTTGTTTCCCTTGATGAAATGGATATCTGAATATCTGAAGTGAATTGTAACAGATAATCCAAGTGTCTGGTTTTACGTGGGGAATACTTGGCAGAGTTTGACCGAAAAGCCCCCAACAGAGGCTTGTGGTCTGTCAGTAAGGATAAAGTCTGCCCTTCCAACAAATGTCAAAAGTAATGGACAGCTGAATAAGCTGCAAGAAGTTCACGTCCAAATGTGCTGTACCTGGATTCCATAGAAGTTAGTTTCTTGGAAAAGAAGGAAATTGGTTTCAAGTGGTCATCGATCTTCTGCTGTAGTACTGCACCTACACCAATCGAAGAGGTGTCACTGCCAAACACAACTCACTACCTGGGACAACATGTGACAATTCAACTGCTCGGGACAATAAAAACCTTAATTTGATGGAAGGCTGCCAAGGCTTGGTCAGACAAAACTATGTCACAATTTTTGACATCAGTTAGAATATCTGTCAATGGTTTTATAACCTGCGCACAATTTAGCAGGAACCTTTGAAAAAAGTTCACCATCCCTAAAAACTGTTGCAACTTTCTCATGGTATCTGGCACGGGAAAGTCAGAAATGGCTGCCACTTTAGATGAGGAAGGTGAAATTCCAGCTGAATTAATGCAGTGACCTAGGAAAATTACTTCAGACTTTCCAAACTCACACTTTACTGAGTTGATAACAACCCCAATTTTCTCAAAACGCTCGAAAACGAGCTGTAAATGTTTAATATGTTCTTCCATAGAAGAACTGGCTATAAGGACATCATCCATATAGGCACAGACAAAATGCAAACCGTGCAGAAACTCAAACAACTCAAATGGTGTTGTTATGGCAGTCTTTAGAATGTGTTCTGGTTCTACCAGAATTTGATGGTAGGCCCTGATAAGGTCTAATTTAGTAAATATATACTTATCCTGAATGATAGCCGTTACATCATGTATATGAGGAATGGGATAACGGTCAGGTATAGTGGCAGAGTTGCATGCCCTATAATCACCACAAGCGCGCAGATTTGGGTACCAGATGCAAGGAAGATGCCCAGCTATTCTTTGATGGCCAGATAATACCAAGTCCCATCATTTGGGTAAATTCTGCTTTCTCCACACTTAATTTTTTGCCAGATGACAAGGACAGCTGTGAACAAGAGGACTGCTAGTAGCAATGTGGTGTGTATTGTGGGGTAGACTATCCTTGTGAAAAACGGTTTGGTAATGTTCTCAAACTTTTTTAAAAGTTCACTAAATATAGGGTTATCTTCTGTGTTAGCCACAGTAGGACTTAATGGAATTACATTATGAATGGCTCCCAGTGATTGAGTATTTGTCTTAGGGTCTGTCAGACAACGTCTGTGAACATCAATGAGAAGACCAAATTTGTGTAAAAAATCTGCACCAAATATGGCCTTCTCTACATCCGCAAAGATAAAGAAATGGGTGAAAACCCATCTCAGACCCAAATTCAATGTTAGGCACTTCTAACCATAAGTCTGGATGAGCGACTTATTCATGGCCTGTTGGGTAAGTTTGTGAGGGTCTTTTAACTTGTCTGCCTTAGTGGCAGGAATTAAAGATATTTGCACACCACTGTCCACAAGAAAACATATACCAGTAGTGCAGTCCAAAACAAACATTTCCCATGTGGGCACACTGAGTCACCTCCAGTCGCCAGCTTAGGCATTTCCCTGTTGCGAATTGAATGAACAGGGGGGCTTACAATAATTAGCCGTATCTCCAAATTTCCTGTGTAAGTAACACATTGGGTCCTTGCTAACAGCTCTTGCATGACCTCTACTTTGGGAGCGGGGAATGCTAACCTTCTATAACTGTCTAAGTCTTCCATCCTAGCCTCTAATCTTTGCTGTCCCTCCAAGAGTCTAGCCAGCGGATTTGGTTCTTGCATCTGTATGGCGGAAACAGGAGCAGTGCATTCCGAATTTAGGTCAGCTACATTGTCTGCTATTTTAGTCAACTTTTCAATGGATGCATCTTCACCCACCTCAGCTAAAACAGCGTGATACGCAGAGGGCAAATGCTGGAGAAAATATGATGTATAATGCCATCCTCATTACCTTCTCCAGCTAAATGTTGCAAACAATGTTTATGGCAGCTTGCTGTCTCCTAAATGTTCCACATGCAAATTTGCAACAATTTCTTTTGCCGTGACATAGACATCCTCTGAACAAGTTCCTCTTTTAACTTGTAATATAGCTTGTCTTTTGGCAGAGAGATAATTATTTCTCTCACTTCCTGGACAGCTTTGAGAGGCAACTTGGAGACCACTAAATTAAATTTTGTTTTCTGAGAGGTAATTCCTCTCAGTTTACACTCCAACTCTAACTGTGTGGAAAATAAAGCTGGGTCTGCTTTAAAGTAGGCTAGGCTGACAGTGTTCACAACCGACACAGCGGCCATTTTTTCCTCATCCATATTGTATATTCTTTATGGGGATAGTTACCACACAGAAATATGTCTCACAATGTGAAGTACAACAGAGAAAAAAAACAAACAAACATAAATATTTTAAACAAAAAATCAGAAGTGGTTATCACTGCTATTACCACTACCAACCTCCTACTCCCACTAATAGCAGTAAGCTACTGACCATCCTGCCTCCAAGAGTGAGACGGGTCTAACGTTGCTGGCTGGTGCCAAATTCAAATACAGGACGTGAGATGAAGCACACGAGGAAGAGAAAAGCCATGTTGGCATGTTATACGGGTCGTCATTCCAATATTGAAAATTATTTGTGTCGAAAGAAAAAATTCTCTGACACATGAAGTTAACACTAACAGTTATTTTGCAAATTGCAAAAATATACTGACATGTTGGAGTCACCACTTATTAGTATTGGTTATCGGCCAGACATATCTTACAGACTATTTTGTCTTAGGAAGAATAACGTGTATTAACCTTCCAGTAGCACACCGATACTAATATTAGCATTAGCTTAGCCATTGATACACTAACACTGAATGCAAATATAGAAAGATGAAATACGTGACTGTAACAAACAAAACATTTAATAAGGCAAACAACTTAAATACATATATTAAAGAGGTTTATATATGTCCGAAAACAAATGATTGTTCATATTGTCCAAAGGAATGAGGTGATTTACAGAACAAGAACAAATAAATAACATACCAACTTTATGGCCTTTGATCATCGACAGATAAGTGAATAGAAATTACTTTTTTCTTTCGCACATGTTGACCAGTTTCCATCTGTGTGGACGCCCTGGTGGTCAGGAAGGTAAAGAGACCATTCCTCAAAAAACAGAAGCAAGAACTAAAAGGGACAGAAGAGTTCTCCTCTCTAAAGGGTCCGAACTCCCATGAGCTCAACCCAAGGAAAAACAACTGTGGTCTCCCTACAAGTAAAAGATGAATGTAAGCAAAGAAGGAAAAGGAAAAAAGAAAAAGGAAAAAGAAGAAGTATGTAAGCAAAGAAGAAGAAAAAGGAAAAACAAGAAGCATGTAAGCAAAGCAGAAGAAAAAGGAAAAACAAGAAGCATGTAAGCAAAGCAGAAGAAAAAGGAAAAACAAGAAGCATGTAAGCAAAGAAAGAAAACAAAAAAGGAAAAACAAAAAGCATGTATGCAAAAGAAGAAAAAGGAAAAACAAGAAGCATGTAAAGAAAAGAAAACAAGAAGCATGAAAAGGAAAAAAAAGAAAAACAAGAAGCATGTAAGCAAAGAAGAAGAAAAAGGTAAAACAAGAAGCATGTAAGCAAAGAAGAAGAAAAAGGTAAAACAAGAAGCATGTAAGCAAAGAAGAAGAAAAAGGAAAAACAAGAAGCATGTAAGCAAAGAAGAAGAAAAAGGAAAAACAAGAAGCATGTAAGCAAAGAAGAAGAAAAAGGTAAAACAAGAAGCATGTAAGCAAAGAAGAAGAAAAAGGAAAAACAAGAAGCATGTAAGCAAAGAAGAAGAAAAAGGAAAAACAAAAAGCATGTAAGCAAAGAAGAAGAAAAAGGTAAAACAAGAAGCATGTAAGCAAAGAAGAAGAAAAAGGAAAAACAAAAAGCATGTAAGCAAAGAAGAAGAAAAAGGAAAAACAAGAAGCATGTAAGCAAAGAAGAAGAAAAAGGAAAAAAAAGCATGTAAGCAAAGAAGAAGAAAAAGGAAAACAAAGGAAGCATGTAAGAAAAGAAGAAGAAAAAGGAAAACAAGAAGAAAAAGGAAAAACAAAAGCATGTAAGCAAGAAGAAGAAAAAGAAAAACAAGAAGAAAAAAAAAGGAAAACAAAAAGAAAAAAAGAAGAAGTAAAAGGAAAACAAGAAGAAGAAAAAGGAAAAACAAGAAGAATGAGCAAAGAAGAAGAAAAGAAAAACAAAAGCATGTAAGGAAAAACAAAGAAGAAGAAAAGAAAAAGAAAAACAAGAAGCATGTAAGCAAAGAAGAAGAAAAAGGAAAAAACAAGAAGCATGTAAGCAAAGAAGAAGAAAAGGAAAAACAAAAGCATGTAAGCAAAGAAGAAGAAAAGGTAAAACAAAAGCATGTAAAGAAAGAAGAAGAAAAGGAAAACAAAAAGCATGTAAAAAGAAAGAAGAAAAGGAAAACAAGAAGCATGTAAGCAAAGAAGAAGAAAAAGGAAAAACAAAAAGCATGTAAGCAAAGAAGAAGAAAGGAAAAACAAGAAGCATGTAAGCAAAAGAAGAAAAGGAAAACAAAAAGCATGTAAGAAGAAGAAGAAAAAGGAAAAAAAAGCATGTAAGAAGAAGAAGAAAAAGAAAAAGGAAAAAAAAGAAGCATGTAAGAAAGAAGAAGAAAAGGAAAAAAAAAAAGAAAAAGAAGAAGAAAAAGGAAAACAAAAGCATAAGCAAAGAAGAAGAAAAACAAAAAAAATTATGTAAGCAAAGAAGAAGAAAAAGAAAAACAAAAGTATGTAAGCAAAGAAGAAGAAAAAGGAAAAACAAAAGTATAAGCAAAGAAGAAGAAAAAGGAAAAACAAGAAGAAGAAAAGAAAAACAAAAAAGAAGAAGAAGCAAAGAAGAAGAAAAAGGAAAAACAAAAGCATGAGGTAGTAAGCAAAGAAGAAGAAAAAGAAAACAAGAAATGTTGGGGAAAGAAGAAGAAAAGAAAAGCAAGAAGCATGTAAAGCAAAGAAGAAGAAAAAGGAAAAACAAAAGCATGTAAGCAAAGAAGAAGAAAAGGAAAAACAAGAATGTAAAAGAAGAAGAAAAAGGAAAACAAGAAGCATGAAAAAAGAAGAAAAAAGGAAAACAAAAAGCATGTAAAAAAGAAGAAGAAAAAGGAAAAAGAAAAAGCATGTAAGCAAAAGAAGAAGAAAAGAAGCAAACAAGAAGTAAAAGTGGACAAAGAAAGAAGAAGAAAAAGGAAAACAAGAAAAGAAAGAAAAATTAAGTAAGCAGATGCTGAGAAGAAGAAAAGGAAGAAAAAAAAAAAGAAGCATGTAAAGCAAGAAGAAAAGGTAAAACAAGAAAAGCTGTGTAAGAAAAAGAAGAAGAAAAAGGAAGTAAAAACAAAAGACAAAAAATTGCAAAAAAAAAAGAAGAAGAACAAAGAAAAAGAAGCATGTAAAAGAAAAGAAAAAAAAAAAGAAGCATGTAAGCAAAAGAAGAAAAAAAAAAAAAAGAACAAAGTAAAGAAGGTGTAAGAAAGAAGAAAAAGAAAAGAAGCAAAGAAAGAAGAAAGAAAGAAGAAAAGAAGAAGAAAAGGAAAAGATGCAAAAGCATGTAAGCAAAGAAGAAGAAAAGGAAAAAAAAGAAGCATGTAAGAAAAAGAAGAAATATATAAAAAAGGAAAAAGAAGAAAAAGAAAAAGAAAAGAAGAAGAAAAAAAGAAAAAAAAAGAAAAAGAAGCATGTAAGCAAAGAAGAAAAAAAAAAGAAAAACAAGAAGCCTTCAGAAGAAAAAGAAAAACAAAAAGAAAGTAAGAAAAGAAGAAAAAAAGAAAAAACAAAGAAGCAAATGTAAGCAGAAGAAGAAGAAAAAGAAAAGAAAAATGTGAAAAAGAGAAGAAGAAAAAGAAAAGAAAAAAGAAAAAGAAGAAGAAGAAAAAGAAATGTAAGCAAAGAAAAAAAAGAAAAAAAGGAAAAGAAGAAGCATGAAGAAGCAAAGAAGAAAAAAGAAAAAAGAAGAAAAACAAAGAAGCATGTAAGAAGAGAAGAAGAAAAAGAAAAGAAAAAGAAGCATGAAGCAGAGAAGAAAGAAAAAAAAAAGAAGCAAGAAAAAAAGAGAAGAAGAAGAAAAGCTGGAAAAACAAGAAGAAGAAAAGAAAAAAAAAGAAAAGAAGAAAAGAAGAAAACAGAAGCTGTGTGGAAAAGAAAAAAAAAAAAGAAGCATGTAAGCAGAAGAAGAAAAAAAAAAAAGCAAGAAGAAGAGAAGAAGAAAAGAAGAAAAGAAGAAAAAGAAAAAGAAGAAAAGAAAAAGAAGCATGTAAAGCAAAGAAGAAAAAAGAAAAGAAATGTAAGCAAAGAAAAGAAAAAAAAGAAGCAAAAGAAAGAAGAAAAAGGAAAAGAAAAAGCATGTAAGCAAAGAAGAAGAAAAAAAGAAAAAACAAAAAAGAAGAAAAAGAAAAAGAAAAGAAGAAGAAAGGAAAAAAAGAAGCATAGAGTAAAAAAAAGAAAAGAAGAAAAAGAAGAAGCAAAAGAAAGAAAAACAAAAAGAAAAGAAAAAAAAAAAAAGAAGCATGTAAGCAAGAAGAAGAAAAGAAAAAGAAAAAAAAGAGAAGAAGAAAAAGAAAAAGAAGCATGGCAGAGAAAAAAAAAGAAAAAGAAGCATGTAAAGAAAAAGAAAAAGAAAAGAAAAGAAGAAAAAAGGAAAAGAAGAAGAAAAAAACAAAGAAGAAGAAAAAAAAGGAAGAAAAAAAGAAAAAGAAGCATGTAAGAAGAAGAAAAAAAAAAAAGAAGAAAAAGAAGAAAGAAGAAAAAGAAAAAAGCATGTAAGCAAAAGAAGAAAAAAAAAGGAAAAAGCAGAAAGAAAAAAAAGAAAAGAAGCATGTAAGCAAAGAAGAAAAAAAAAAAAACAAAAAGCATGTAAGCAAAGAAGAAGAAAAAGAAAAAGAAGAAGAAAAAGCAAGAAGAAGAAGAAAAAAAAAGAAGAAAAGAAGCAAAGAAAGAAGAAAAAAGAAAAAAAGAAAAGGAAAAGAAGAAAAAGCAAGAAAGAAAAAAAGAAAAATGAAGAAGAAAAAGAAAAACAAAAAGAAGAAAAAGAAGAAAAAGAAAAAAAAGATGTAAGCAAAAAGAAGAGAAAAAGGAAAAAGAAAAAAAAAAAGAGAAGAAGAAAAGAAAAAAAAGAAAAGTAAGAAAAAAGAAAAAAAGAAAAAGAGAAGAAGCAAAAGAAAAGAAAAGAAGAAAAAAAAAAAGAAGCATGTAAGCAAGAAGAAGAAGAAAAAGAAAACAAAAAGCATGTAAGCAAAGAAGAAGAAAAAAAAAAAAGAAAAAAAAAGCAGAGAAGAAAGGAGAAAAAGAAGCATGTAAGCAAAGAAGAAGAAAAAGAAAAAACAAAAGCACAATCAAAGAAGAAGAAGAAAAAAAAAAAGAAGCATGTAAGCAAAGAAGAAGAAAAAGAAAAAAGCATGTAAGCAAGTAAGAAGAAGAAAAAAAAAAAAAGAAAGAAAAAACAAAAGAAGAATGTAAAAAAAGAAGAAAATTCAAGAAGGAAAAAAAAAGAAAAAAGCATGTAAGCAAAGAAGAAGAAAAGCAAAAAAGAAAAAAGCATGTAAGAAAAAGAAGAAGAAGAAAAAAAACAAAAGAAGCATAAAAAAAGAAAAAGAAAAAAAAAAAGAAGAAAGCAAAGAAGAGAAAAAGAAAAAGAAAAAGAAAGAAGAAAAGTAAGTTAAAAGAAGAAGAAAAAAGGAAAAGAAAAGAAGCATGTAGAAGAAAAAGAAAAGAAAATGAAGAAAAGAAAAAAAAAAAAAGCATGTAAGCAAGAAGAAGAAAAGAAAAGAAGCATGTAAGGTAGAAAAAAAAAAAAAAGAAGCAAAGAAAAAAAAAGAAAAAGAAAAGAAGCATGAAGAAGAAAAAGAAAAGAAGCATGTAAAAAGAAAAAAAGAAAAAGCAGAAGAAGAAGAAAAGAAGCATGTAAAAAAAAAAAGAAAAAGAAAAAAGAAGAAAAACAAAAGAAAAAAAGAAGCATGTAAGTAGAGAAGAAGAAAAAGAAAAAAGTAAGAGAAAAGAAGAAAAACAAAAGAAGAATGTAAGAAAAGAAGAAGAAGAAAAAGAAAAGAAAAACAAAAGAAAAGAAGCATGTAAGCAAAGAAGAAAAAAGAAAAAAAGAAAAGAGAAGAAAAAAAAAAGAAGCATGTAAGCAAAAGAAGAAAAAAAAAAGAAGCATAAAGCAGAGAAGAAGAAAAAAAAAAGAAGAAGAAAAAGAAAAAAAAGAGAAGAAGAAAAAGAAAAAGAAGCAAAGAAGAAGAAGAAAAAGAAAGAAAAAGTAAAGAAGAAGCAAAGAAAAAGAAAAGAAGAAGAAGAAGAAAAGAAGAAAACAAAGAAGCATGTAAGCAAAAAGAAAAGAAAAAAAAGGAAAAGAAGAAAAAGAAAAAGAAGAAAAAGAAGCAGAGAAGAAAAAAAAAAAAGCAAAAAGAGAAGAAGAAAAAGAAAAAGAAGCAAGTTAAAAGAAGAAAAAAGAAAAAGCATGAAGCAGAAAAGAAGAAGAAAAAAAAAAGAAGAAAAAAAAGCATGTAAAGAAAAGAAAAAAAGAAGAAGGAAAAAAAGAAGCATGTAAGCAGAGAAGAAGAAAAAAGAAAAAGAAGCATGTAAGCAAAGAAGAAGAAGAAAAAAGAAAAGAAAACAAAAAAGCAGAAAAAAGCAAAGAAGAAGAAAAAGGAAAAAAAAGAAGAAGCATGTAAGCAAGAAGAAGAAGAAAAGAAGCTGGAAAAAAAAAAAAGCATGTAAGCAGAGAAGAAGAAAAAGAAAAGAAAAGAAAGAAGAAAAAGAAAAAGAAAAGAAGAAAAAAAGAAAAACAAGAAGAAGAAAAAAAGAGAAGAAAAAAAGAAAAAGAAAAGAAGCAAGAAAGAAGAAGAAAAAGAAAAAAAAAGGAAAAAGAAGAGAAGAAGAAAAAACAAAGAAGCATGTAAGAAAGAAGAAGAAAAAAAAAAAGAAGCATGTAAGCAAAGAAAGAAAAAAAGAAAAAGAAGCATGTAAGCAAAGAAGAAGAAAAAAAAAAGAAGCACAAGAAGAGAGAAGAAGAAAAAAGAAAAGAAGCATGTAAAAGAAGAAGAAAAAAGAAAAGAAGCATGTAAGAAGAAGAAGAAAAAAAAGAAAAAAGCATGTAAGAAGAAAAGAGAAAAAGGAAAAGAAAAAAAGAAAAGAAGCATGTAAGAAAGAGAAGAAAAAGAAAAAAAAGAAAGAAGCATGAGAAGAAAAGAAGAAGAAAAGAAAAAGAAAAGAAGATGTAAGAAGAGAAGAAGAAAAGAAAAGAAAGGAAAAAAGAAGAAAAAAAGAAGCATGTAAGACTTAAGAAGAAAAAAGAAAAAGAGAAAAAGAAGAAGATGAAAAAAAGAAAAGAAGAAAAGAGAGAAGAAGAAAAAAAAGAAAAAAGAAGAAAAAGAAAAGGAGAAGAAGAAGAAAAAAAAAAAGAAAAAAGAAGAAAAAGAAAAAAGAAAAAAGAAAAGAAGAAGAAGAAAAAAAAAAAAAAAAAGCATGTAAGCAAAGAAGAAGAAAAAGAAAAGAAGCATGTAAGCAAAGAAGAAAAAAAAAAAACAAAAAAGAATGTAAGAAGAAGAAGAAGAAAAAAGAAGAAAAGGAAAAGAAGAAGAAAAAGAAAATGAAAGCAAAGAAAGAAGAAAAAGAAAAGAAAAAAAGAAGAAGAAGAAGAAAAAGAAAAAACAAGAAGAAAAAAAAAAGAAAGAAGAAAAAAAAAAAGAAGCATAAGCAAAAAGAAAAAAGAAAAAGAAGCATGTAAGCAAAGAAGAAGAAAAAAAAGAAGAAAAAGAAGAAGAAAAAGAAAGAAGTAAAAGTAAAGAGAAGAAGAAAAAAGAAAAGAAGAATGTAAGCAAAGAAGAAGAAAAAAGAAAAAGAAAAAGAAGAAGAAAAAAAGAAAAGAAGCATGTAAGAAGAAGAAAAAAGAAAAGAAGAAAAACAAGAAAAGAAAAAAAAGCATGTAAGAGAGAAGAAGAAAAAAAAGAAAAAAGAAAAAGAAGAAAAAGAAAAAGAAAAGAAGAAAAGAAGAAGAAAAAAAAGAAAAAGAAGCATGTAAGAGAAAAGAAAAAAAAGAAAAGAAAAGAAAAAGAAAAAGAAAAAGAAAAAAGGAAAAAAAGAAGCATGTAAGAAGAAGAAGAAAAAGAAAAGAAAAAAAAAGAAGTATGAAGAAAAGAAAAAAGAAAAAAGAAGCATGTAAGCAGAGAAGAAGAAAAAAAGAAAAGAAGAAAAGAAGAAGAAGAAGAAAAAAAAAGAAGCATGTAAGGAGAAGAAGAAAAAAAAAGAAGCATGTAAAAGAAGAAGAAATGAAAGAAAAGAAGAAGAAAAGGAAAAAAGAAGAAGCAAGAAGAAAGAAGAAAAAAGAAAAAAAGAAGAAGAAGAAAAAAAAAAGAAGCAGAAGCATAAGAGAAGAAGAAAAAGAAAAAGAAGCATGTAAGCAGAGAAGAAGAAAAGGAAAAGAAGCATGTAAGAGAAAGAAGAAGAAAAGGAAAAGCAAGAGAAGAAAAAAAAAAAGAGAAGAAGCAAAAGGAAGAAGAAGAAAAGAAGAAAAAAAGAAAAAAAAAAGAAGCATGTAAGCAAAGAAGAAGAAGAAAAAAGAAAAAGAAGCATGTAAGCAGAGAAGAAGAAAAAAGAAAAAGAAGCATGAAAGAAAAGAAGAAAAAAGGAAAAAAAAAAAATGTAAGAAAAGAAGAAGAAAAAGGAAAAAAAGAAAAAGAAAAAGAAGCATGTAAGAAGAAGAAGAAAAAAGAAAAAGAAAAAAGAAAAGAAGAAGAAAAAGAAAAGAAGCATGTAAGCAGAGAAGAAGAAAAAAAAAGAAGAAAAAGAGAAGAAAAAAAGAAAAAAAGCATGTAAGAGAAAGAAGAAAAAAGAAAAAGAAGAAGAAAAAAGAAGAAAAAGAAAAGAAGCATGTAAGCAAAGAAGAAGAAAAAAAAAAAAAAAGCATGTAAGCAAAGAAGAAGAAAAGAAAAAGGAAAAAGAAGAAAGAAAAAAGCATGTAAAGAAAAAAAGAAGAAAACAAAAAGAAAAGAAGCATGTAAGCAAAGAAGAAGAAAAAAAGAAAAACAAGAAGCATGTAAGCAAAGAAGAAGAAAAAGAAAAAAAGCAAAAAAAGAAGAAAAAAGAGAAGAAAAGAAAAAAAAGAAGCAGGTAAAAGAAGAAGAAGAAAAAAGCAAAGAAGAAGAAAAAAAAAGAAAAAAAAAAAGAAGCAAAAGAAAGAAGAAAAAGAGAAGAAGAAAAAGAAAAAAGCAAAGAAGCATGTAAGCAAAGAAAAAGAAAAGAAGAAAAGCAAAGAAGAAGAAAAAGAAAAGAAGCAAGAAAAGAAAAAAAAAGAAGAAAAAAAAAAAAAGAAGCATGTAAGCAGAGAAGAAGAAAAAAGAAAAAGAAGCATGTAAGCAAAGAAGAAGAAGAAAAAAGAAAAAGAAGCATGTAAGCAGAGAAGAAGAAAAAGAAAAAGAAGAAAAAAAAGAGAAGAAAAAAAAAAGAAAAAGCAAAACAAAAAGCAAAAAGAAAAGAAGCATGAAAGAAGAAGAAAAAAAAGAAAAAAGCATGTAAGCAAAAGAAGAAGAAAAAAGAAGAAAAGAAAAGAAGCATGTAAGCAAGAAGAAGAAAAAGAAAAGAAGCATGAAAAACAAAAAAAAAGCAAGAAGAAGAAGAAAAGAAAAAGAAGAAGCAAAAAGAAAAACAAGAAAAAGAAAAGAAAAGCAAGAAGAAGAAAAAAAAAAAAAAAGCATGCATGTAAGAAAAAAAGAAAAAGGAAAAACAAAAAGCATGTAAGCAAAGAAGAAGAAAAAGAAAAACAAAAGAAGCATGAAAAAGAAGAAGAAAAAAAGAAAAACAAAAGAAGCATGTAAGAAAGAAGAAGAAGAAAAAAAAACAAAAAAGCATGTAAGCAAAGAAGAAGAAAAAGAAAAAAAAAAAGAAAAAAAGCATGAGAAGAAGAAAAGAAAAAGAAAAAGAAAAAGAAAAAAGAAAAAAAAAAGAAAAGAAGAAAGAAAAAAAGAAAAAGAAAAAAGCAAAAGAAGAAGAAGAAAAAAGAAAAAGCAAGAAGCAGAGAAGAAAAAAAAGAAGAAAAAAAAGAAAAAAAAAAACAAAAAGAGAAGAAAAAAAAGAAAAAAAGAAGAAGAAAAAGAAGAAAAAAAAAAAAAAAAGAAGCATGTAAGCAAAGAAGAAGAAAAAAAAGAAAAACAAAAAGATGAAAAAGAAAAAGAAGAAAAGAAAGAAGAAGAAAAAGAAAAAGAAGCATGTAAAAAGAAGAAGAAAAAGAAAAGAAAAAAAGCAAGAGAAGAAAAAAAAGAAAAGAAGCATGTAAGCAAAAGAAGAAGAAAAAAAAGAAGAAGAAAAAGAAAAGAAAAAAGAAGAAGAAAAAGAAAAGAAGCAGAAGAAGAAGAAAAAAAAAAAACAAAAAAGCAATGAAGAAGAAAAGAAGAAGAAAAGAAGAAAAAAAAGAAGAAGAGCAAAGAAAAAAAAAGAAGCATGAAAACAAAGAAGAAGAATGAAAAGAAGAAGAAAAGGTAAAAAGAAGAAGAAGAAAGAAAAGAAGATGTAAAAAGAAGAAGAAAAACAAAAAAAGCATGTAAGCAAAGAAGAAGAAAAAGAAAAACAAAAGAGAAGAAGAAAAAAAAAAAAGAAGAAGAAAAAGAAGAAAAAAAAAAGCATGTAAGCAAAGAAGAAGAAAAAAGAAAAAAACAAAAAAGCATGTAAGAAAGAAGAAAAAAGAAAAGAAGCAAAAAAAAAAGAAGCAAAAAGAAAAGAAGAAAAGAAGCATGAAAAAGAAGAAAAAAAAAAATGTAAGAAGAAGAAGAAAAAGAGAAGAAAAAAGAAAAGAAGCATGTAAGAAAAAGAAGAAGAAAAAAAAGAATGTAAGAAAGAAAGAAGAAAAGAAAAAAGCAAAAAGAAGAAGAAAAAAGTAAAAAGAAGAAGAAAGAAAGAAGAAAAAGAAAAAAAGCATGTAAAAGCAAAAAGAAAAAGAAGAAAGAAAAAAGAAAAGAAAAAGAAGTAGAGAAAAGAAGAAAAAGAAAAAGAAGCATGTAAGAAAAAGAAGCAAAAAGAAGAAAGAAAGCAAGAAAAGAAAAAAAAAGCATCTAAAGAAGAAGAAAGAAGTAAGCAAAAGAAGAAGAAGAAAAGAAAAAAAAGAAGCATGAAGAAAAAGCAAAGAAGCATGTAAGAAGAAGAAAAAGAAAAGAAGCAAAAAGAAGAAGAAAAAAGCATGTAAGAAAAGAAAAAAAAAAAAGAAAAGAAAAAGAAGAAGAAAAAAGCAGAAGAAGAAAAAAAAGAAAAGAAGCATGTAATAAGAAAAAAAAGAAAAAGAAGCAAAGAAGAAGAAGAAAAAAGAAAAACTTCTGTAAGCAAAGAAGAAGAAAAAAAAAAAAAAGAAAAATGAAAGCAGAGAAGAAGAAAAAGAAAAGAAGCTAAGAATTGAAAAAAGAAAAAGAAGAAAAAGCAGAAGAAGAAGAAAAAGAAAAGAAGCATGTAAGCAGAGAAGAAGAAAAAAGAAAAGAAGCATGTAAAAAGAAGAAGAAAAAGAAAAAGAAGCATGTAGAAAGAAGAAAAGAAAAGAAGCATGAAAGCAAAGAAGAAGAAGAAAAAAAAAGAAGCATGAAAAAGAAGAAGAAGAAGAAAAAAGAAAAGAAGAGAGAAGAAGAAAAGAAAAAAAAAAGAATGTAAGCAGAGAAGAAGAAAAAAAAAGAAAAAGAAAAGATTGGAAGAAAAGAAGAAGAAGAAAAAAAAAAGAAAGAAGAAGAAGAAGAAAAAAGAAAAAGAAGAAGAAGAAGAAAAAAGAAAAAGAAGCATGTAAGAAGAAGAAAAAGAAAAGAAGCAAAAAGAAAAAGAAAAGAAAAGAAGATAAAGAAGAAGAAGAAAAAAGAAAAAGAAGCATGTAAGCAAAGAAGAAGAAGAAAAAAGAAAAAGAAGCATGAAAGCAAGAAGAAGAAAAAAAAAAAAAAAAGAAGAAGAAAGAAAAGAAGAAGAAAAAAAAAAAGAAGCATGTAAGCAGAAGAAGAAGAAAAAAAAAAAGAAGCATGTAAAGCAGAAAGAAGAAGAAAAAAAAAAAAGAAGCATGTAAGAGAGAAGAAGAAAAAAGAAAAGAAGCATGTAAGAGAAAGAAGAAAAAGAAAAAGAAGCATGTAAGCAGAGAAGAAGAAAAAAGAAAAAGAAGCATGTAAGCAGAGAAGAAGAAAAAAGAAAAAGAAGCATGTAAGCAAAGAAGAAGAAGAAAAAAGAAAAAGAAGCATGTAAGCAGAGAAGAAGAAAAAAGAAAAAGAAGCATGTAAGCAGAGAAGAAGAAAAAAGAAAAAGAAGCATGTAAGCAGAGAAGAAGAAAAAAGAAAAAGAAGCATGTAAGCAGAGAAGAAGAAAAAAGAAAAAGAAGCATGTAAGCAGAGAAGAAGAAAAAAAAAAAAAAAGAAGCGTAAGCAGAAGAAGAAGAAAAAAGAAAAAGAAGCATGTAAGCAGAGAAGAAGAAAAAAGAAAAAGAAGCATGTAAGCAGAGAAGAAGAAAAAAGAAAAAGAAAAAAAGAAAAAAAAAAAGCAAGCATGTAAGCAAAGAAGAAGAAGAAAAAGGAAAAAGAAGCATGTAAGCAGAGAAGAAGAAAAAAAAAAAATGTAAGCATGTAAATGGTAAGATAGAAGAAAAGAACAGATCAGAGATTTCTATTTAAGTTCTCAAGTTCCGTAAGAAGAAGAGAGAAAAAACCCCAGCCCCAAAGAAAGAATAGATAAAACAAAAGAAGAAGATAAACTTCAAAGTGTTTTTTTTTTGTTTTTGTTTCAAAGCATTAAGCAACAGTCATTCTTGTCTTTATTTGTAAAAATTAAAAAAAGAAAAACATCTTGTAGACTGTTCAAAAGAAGAAAAAAACTTTTCTTTTGAAAAAGAAGCATTCAAAAAGAAGATGTTTTAAGAAAAAAAAAAAGAAAACAAGAAGCATGTAAAATTCAAAGCAAAGAGTAAAAAAAAAAATACATTAACAGAAAAAAGGTCCATGTAAGCAGAAGATACTGGAGAAAAGAAAAGAAAAAAATTTTGTGAATGTAAAGATTTAAAGATCTTTTTTTATGAAGAAAATAAAACTGTTGAGAAAAGGAAAAAGAAAAATAAGAAAAGAAGCATATCTAATTTAAAATGAAGAAATTGCAGAAAAAACAAATTTCAATTTCAAAAAAAGAAGGAAATTTAAACAAAATTCAAAGAAAAAAGAAAAGAACTACAAAAAAAAAGAAGCATGTAAGCAAAGAAAATGATAATAGAATCCATGAAAAAAAAGTGGAAAAAAAAGCATCCCAAAACTGAAGAAAAAAAAAGAAAAAAACTGACAAAATCCCAGAAGAAAATCCCAAACATGAAAAAAAAAAAAAAAGAAAATCCCAAAAATGAAAAAATCAGATACCAAAATTGAAAAAAAAAAAAGAAAAGAAGAAAAAGAAAAAGACTTTATCCCAAAAAACAAAAAATCCCAAAGAAAAGAAAAAACAAAAAGAAAAAGCATGTATCCCAAAAAATGAACAAAAAAAGAAAAAAAAATAAGCATGTAATTGAAAAAGAAAAAACAAAAAGAAGAAAAAATTGAAAAAAATCCCAAGACTTATGAAAAAAATAAGCAGAAAAAATTGAAAAAAAAAAAGCCTCTTAAGCCAAAAAAAAAAGGAAATAAGACTATACCAAAATTGAAAAAAAAAGAGACTCTTATACCAAGCAGAAGCCAGATCCCAAAAAATGAAAAAAAGCATGTCCAGAAAACCAAAATTGAACAAAAAGAAAAAAGCATGTAAGCAAAAGAAGAACAAAAAAAGAAAAAAAAAATGAAAAAAATGTAAGAAGATAAAATTGAAAAAAAAGCCAAAAGAATGAACAAAATCCCAAGCATAAGATAAAGAAAATGAACAAAAGCCCAGAAGAAAAGAAAAAGAAAAATGAACAAAATCCCAGAAAAGTTATACCAAAAAGAAGAAGAAAATCCCAAAAAACAAAAAGCATGAAATTGATCCCAGACTCTTATCCCAAAAAGAAAAAAAAAATCCCAGAAGCTTTAAGCCCAAAAAAAGAAAAGAAGCACCTTAATCCCAAGAAGAAAAAACAAAGAAGAAGAAGAAAAAAAAAATTGAACAAAATATATAGAAAAAAGAAAACAAAATCCCAGAGAAGAATCCCAAAAATGAACAAAAGAAGAAAAGTCTTAGAAGAAGAAAATTGAACAAAAGCCCATTTGAAAAAATGAACAAAAACCCAGAGTCTTACTTTTTTCAAGGAAAACAAAGTTTTATACCAAAAAAGAACAAAATCCCCCAGCCCTTATCCCAAATAAACTTGAACTTATTTATCCCAGACTGTTTAAAATCCTAGTATTTTTCAAAAAAATGAAGACTGTTCAAAGTTTTCAAAGAAAGCTGTCTTTTCTTCTCCCAGAAAAGAAAAAAAACAAAATCCCAGCATTCAAAAAATGAACAAAATGAAAAGTTTATCAAAATTGAACTCAAAAAATCCCAAAAAAAAAAAATCCTAGCATACCAAAATTGAACAAAATCCCAAACTTTATCCCAAAAAATGAACAAAAATCAAGAAGAACAAAATGAACAAAATACTTATACCAAAAATTGAACAAAAAAGAATACCAAAAATTGGACAAAATGCTCCCAAATCCCAATTGAACAAAAATCCCAGACTTCCCAGACTCTTATACCAAAATTGAACAAAATCCCAAACTTTATACCCAAAAAAAATCTTATGAACAAAATCCCAGACTCTTATTCTTGAAAAAAACCCATTTGAACAAAATCCCAGAATAAAATGAAAAAATCCCAGACTTTATACCAAAATTGAACAAAATCCCAGCTCTTTTTAAAAAATGAACAAAATAAGACTTATACCAAAAAACAAAATCCCAAAAAAATGAACAAAACTCAGATTTTAACAAAAAATACCAAAAAATGAACAAAATCCCAGCCTAAAGAAAAACTATTTTAGAAGAATTCAAAATTGAACAAAACTTAGATATCCCAAAAAATGAACAAAATCCAATTTTACCAAAAAAAAAAAAATGAAAAAATCCCAGAAAAAAAAGCCCTTATCCCAGAAAATTCCCAGACTTATCCAAAATGAACAAAAATCTAATTTGAAAAAATGCCTTTATCCCAAAAAATGAACAAAAAGCAGACTGTTATTTGAACAAAAATCCAAAATTGAACAAAATCCCAAAAAATGAAACAAAAACCAGACTCTTATATTTCCAAAATCCCAGAAGAAAAAAAATGAACAAAATCCCAGACCTTATACCAAAATTGAACAAAAAAACCAGTTTATACCAAAAATTGAACAAAAATCAGACTTTATACCAAAAATGAACAAAAATCAGACTCTTATACAAAATTGAACAAAATCCCAGACTCTTATCCCAAAAAAATGAACAAAATTTTATACCAAAAAAACAAAAATTCCAGTCCATTATCCCAAAAAAAATGAACAAAATCCCAGACTCTTAAAATCCCAAAAAAATTGAACAAAAAAAAGACATACCAAAATGAACAAAATCCCAGCCTCTTATCCCAAAAATGAACAAAAATCCCAGAATACCAAAATTGAACAAAATCCCAGAGAACTACCAAAAAATGACAAAATCCCAGCCTCTTATCCCAAAAAATGAACAAAATCCCAGACTCTTATACCAAAATTGAACAAAATCCCAGACTCTTATCCCAAAAAATGAACAAAATCCCAGACTCTTATACCAAAATTGAACAAAATCCCAGACTCTTATACCAAAATTGAACAAAATCCCAGCCTCTTATCCCAAAAAATGAACAAAAAACAAAATCCCAGACTCTTATCCCAAAAAAATGAACAAAATCCCAGACTCTTATCCCAAAAAAAGAAAAAAAGAAAAAAAAAAAATGAAGAAAAAGACTTTAACAAAATACCATCCCAAAAATTGAACAAAATCCCAGCCTCTTATCCCAAAAAAAATGAACAAAAATCCAGAAAAGATACCAAAATTGAACAAAATCTTATACCAAAATTGAACAAAATCCCAGACCTCTTATCCCAAAAAATGAACAAAATCCCAGACTCTTATAAAAATTGAACAAAATCCCAGCCTCTTATCCCAAAAATGAACAAAATCCCAGACTCTTATACCAAAATTGAACAAAATCCCAGCCTCTTATCCCAAAAAAATGAACAAAAAATCCCAGACTCTTATACCAAAATTGAACAAAATCCCAGACTCTTATCCCAAAAAAAAAATGAACAAAATCCCAGACTCTTATCCCAAAAAAATGAACAAAAAAGACTCCCAAAATTGAACAAAATCCCAGACTCTTATACCAAAAATGAACAAAATCCCAGACTCTTATACCAAAATTGAACAAAATCCCAGACCTCTTATCCCAAAAAATTATACCAAAATTGAACAAAATCCCAGACTCTTATACCAAAATTGAACAAAATCCCAGCCTCTTATTCCAAAAATGAACAAAAATCCCAATAAAAATTGAACAAAATCCCAGACTCTTATTGAACAAAACCAGACTCTTATCCCAAAAATGAACAAAATCCCAGACTCTTATACCAAAATTGAACAAAATCCCAGACTCTCCAAAAATTGAACAAATCCCTCTTATCCCAAAAATGAACAAAAAGACTCTTATACCAAAATTCAAAATTATCCCAAAAAACAACAAAAAATGAACAAAATCCCAGACTACCAAAATTGAACAAAATCCATCCCAAAAAAAATTGAACAAAATCCCAGACTCTTATCCCAGACATCCCAAAAAAACAAAATCCCAGACTCTTATACCAAAATGAACAAAATCCCAGACTCAAAAATTGAACAAAAATCTTATCCCAAAAAATGAACAAAAATCCCAGACTCTTATACCAAAATTGAACAAAATCCCAGCCTCTTATCCCAAAAAATTAAAATTGAACAAAATCCCAGACTCTTATACAAAAAAATGAACAAAATCCCAGACTTTATACCAAAATTGAACAAAATCCCAGACTCTTATCCCAAAAAAAAATCCCAACAAAATCCCAAAATTTATACCAAAAATCCCAAAAAAATGACTTATCCCAAAAAAAATGAACAAAATCCCAGACTCTTATACCAAAATTGAACAAAATCCCAAATCCCAAAAAAATGAAAAAATCCCAGACTATCCCAAAATTGAACAAAATCCCAGACTCTTATCCCAAAAAATGAACAAAATCCCAGATTGAACAAAATCCCAGACTTTATACCAAAATTGAACAAAATCCCAGCCTCTTATCCCAAAAAATGAACAAAATCCCAGAACAAAATCCCAGCCTCTTATCCCAAAAAATGAACAAAATCCCAGACTCTTATCCCAAAATTGAACAAAATACCAAAATTGAACAAAATCCCAGCCTCTTATCCCAAAAAATGAACAAAATCCCAGACTCTTATCCCAAAAATGAACAAAATCCCAGACTCTTATACCAAAAATGAACAAAATCCCAGACT